GAGAATTTTTCACACCTTCTGTTGCAGCACTGAAGGGAAGTGTTTTGCTAGTTTCTGGGTAAAAAAATATTGATTGTGATCTACAAAACTGAGTATTCCTTGGGTTTTTTTTAAACACTCTCATAATTACTAATTTTAACAGGAGTGATCAAATTTGTCAAATATCAGAACAGATGATGCCCATGTGCATTCTGGTCCCCAAAGCCAAGCTCTCAGGTTGAATTCTCCCCATAACCCTGGCTGAAGCTCAGATCTTTGGACGTCAGAACATAGTGGAAGCCTAAACTATTTTCTCAGCTGCATGCTTGAAGCCATGATTAGCTAATCACAAGTAATCATATACATGCTTATTTCCACAAAATATATGCAAATGGTTTCCTAATACAGAAATAGAATCTGCTACAAGATAAATTATGCACTATTAGCTGTTTCTTGTTTTTAGAAAGAAATGAGGACATCAGGACCTTTTCCTTAAGCATGAAAATATGCTGCATTTTATCCTTTTGAGACAGTGTTTTGGAAATATGTCAAAATGATCAAGAACTGAATTCTTGTTTAATCATAATAGGAAGGCCTTATTGTATTAGCAGATTACAGTCATTGTGTTAGTATACTATCTACCTTGTATTCATTTTTGCTAACATAATGAGAATTTTTTCCAGCATGATTATATTTTAATACAATAAAATAGTATTGGAAAGGAAAATTAATATGATTTCAAAGTGAGATGCAAAGACAATAAAATAACCTCTGTTTTTTCCCTAAACTTTTAATTCATTGCTAACTTAAAAATACTTTTTATTAATCCTTTAAAATAATTATATTCAAATGAGCATTTAAAGTCAGTTAAAAGGATTATAGAGCCTTTTTTTTTTTTTTTTTCACATACTGTGCCATATAAGAACCAAATTAATTCTTGCTAAACAAACATTACAAGAACCATCATAGAGAAAATTAATGGAAATCTCCAAAGAACATTATCTAAGACAGTACATTAAAGTATATTAGTAAATATTCTACAGTATATATTGTAAGTAGTAATGATGTTTTGTAATATGAGCTCTCTTTACCTCCTTGAAAGTAAGACAGTAATCCAGTCAGGCCCTTTCCTGAGCCCTGATCCAAAGCCCTTTAAAGTCAGTGGAAAGATCTCCATTGGCTTCATTTGGTTTTGGATGAGGCCAGGTATTTCTGAATTTCAGACATTTCTAAATTTCCTTGTTTGAGAGCAGCACATAACCAGACAATGGAGGACCAGCTGCATGCTATCTTGAATATAGTGTAAGTTTATATGCAATCTGCATCATATATTTCATCACAACGAAGATATCATCCTTGCTGTAAGGTCTTCTATTCATTACCCAGATGTTATCAGTTCAGGTTTTGTTGTAGTGGATGCAAACTCCAAATGCTGTACTGGGGTCCTGGAGAAATTTGCTGTGCTCCAGCAAAAGAAGAGAAATACCTTTCTACCATAGCACTACGTTTTTTACAACCCAAGGGAAGTCAGAAATGTTTTCTAAACATTTCGCAGAGTTTTTCTTTGTGTATTGGTTTAGATGGCATTCAGAAGCACAATAGTGAGAATTACAGCAAGGAGTTCCTTTCTGTGACCCACAGATATGGCATTAGAACAAGTCACTTCACCCTTTCTTATTTTAGTTTGTGAAGCAAACAACACTACTTTAACTACTTTTCAGGGCTCTTGATTACAAAACAATTAGTTTACTATTTGTACTTCAATAAAGGTTTATATAATTAGAAATCTTTTTGAGAATCTTTATCTTTTTAATGTAATTTTGTATGGATTTTACATGGAGAGGTTGGTTTTGTTGCTGTGTACACTATTTGAAACATGCTATTGTTTCCTTTATATAAACAGCATCTGACTTTTCAAGCTATTGAAATGACTCTGTATAGGCTCTATGTGTACCAATGCCCTCTACTGGTTTGAAACACAATTGCTCAGCAGAGGGTATTGCTGTTTTTCTTTATTGGGGAAACCGTCATATTGAAATTGTTTTCTTTTCAGAGCAGCAGAATTGCAGCTGTGTATCCAGACTGTCTGAAGGTCAGGTAGCTGTACTGTGGACGAGCTGGCAGCTGAGCTGTGCTACTCAGGTAAGCTTTTTATTGCCTTCTGCATGCTTCGTTTTCATTGATTTGGAATACTTACCTTGAATGACAGGCTTCAAGGTAGCAGTCCTGTGAGGGAAAACACTTTCTTGAAACTTGTTGAGTACCAGGCTTCCAGTGCAGATGCTCTGTTAGCATGGCAGTCACCTCTCTAAGGTGCATCTTTGCTCTTTGAGCTGGCTGAGGGCCTACCTAGGAAGGCAGTGGGCAGTTGTGTTGCCAGGATGTGGCACAAATAACCCTTGAGGCACAGGAGCCATCAAGCTAATGAAGTGCGTTAAGGAAAAAGTCTTAACTATCGAGGGGTGGATCCACTCCCCCGTGCCACAAACCAGAGGTCATGTGCCTGAGGAATGTGTATCCAAAGATAATACTACCTTCAGAGAACTCTACTTACAGGTAAGTAACTCTTCTTTAAAGGAGGTATCTTTGTGTGGCAGACTGTTTATGGGAGCAATTTGAATTGAACTTTAAATGAAAAAGGCATATCTCTGTAAGTGGTAATAATTTTAGTCATCTCGCTGTGGCTAGGGGTTGTGGAATTCATTAGCACAGATTAACATATAAAGTGGGTGAGATATCTAATAGCAAACGTAGAGGTTTAGGGACCTTAATTCATCACTGAATGAACAGCGTGTACAGTATTAGGGACTATGAAATTTTTAATTTACACAAAGTGTCCAAGAATATAGGGAATAAATTTAAACCCAAAACAGATAATGGAGCTGTGCCCTGCCTAGCTGGCAAGTTGAATTGTTTTTACACTGAGTGAAGAAAGCTAATTATCCCAAGCACAAGGAGACTGCTAAAAATAATAAGATTATAAAGAATAATTTGCTGATATAATTACAACAAAATTGGGTACACACAATCGTCAGATACATGTATTGCTTGACCTGGGCGAGAAAGTGAAATAAATCCTTCCTCTATAGCCTTCGTAAATTTGTTTTTATCATCTCCAAGTGGTGTTTGCACAGGCAGCACAATTTGCATGTGTAATGTGGCTGTACAAATTGACAACAAGTAAATTATTCAAGGAAATAGGCTGGTCGTGGGTCTGAACTATCTCGCAAAGCCTATTCATTTTGAAGAATCACTGAGACGTGAAGCTCATACATCAACCATTTTCTGACAATCCTCAGACTTATTGTCTCCTAAAATGTCATTATGGCTATTATTTATGAAGCTAATTCATTTATTAATATATATTTAACTCTGACTTGTCATGCACCTTAGCAGGCATTCTGTGCACTGCATATTTTTGAATAGATGAAAGAGTTTTGCATGCTTTAATGATTACTGTAAGCTGCTATAGATTTATAGAATGCAGCTTTATTATCTACTTGCATTAATACCTTTTTGTAACTTTTTTTTCCTTAAGGCCATCAAATATAAATGGCAAATGACATATCCCAGAGATTGTATAAAAAGAGATTTTCTCAGAGTTTGTTGAATTTTAGAACAAAATGAGGTAGCTAACTGCTAAGACCCAATTCCTTTTTAAGAGCATATAACAATTGTGTTCAGTTTTTGTGTGTTTTGCTAAAAGTATTGAATGAAATGCATGAAGGCAGATGTTTATTATACTTTGGTGGACAAGTGGCCACCTTTGGATTATACCAACAGGGGGAGTACCAGTTAGAGGTGGGGGAAACATAGCGGATGGAAAATAGACATATTTTTCTATGGTATACATAGAATATAGATAATTTCACTCATATGGAACAGTCCTTAGGAAATGAACAGCACAGAGTATGGGTAATGAGGTTGCCTATGGGTCATGGATTTTTTCATCTTGATTCGGTTATCTTTAGGGCATATTAAAAGACACAGGGATCACAGTAACTCTCCTCTGACATTTGCACAGTGTCAGGAAATTAAAAATTGCATTCTGTTCTGAAAAACATATTTGGGGTAGGCCTAAATTTTATTACACGCACAGAATTCAGATTAAGATTGTAATTAGCATAACAAATTGACTAATTAAAATACATAGTTATTAAGACTGTATGGTCAATTTGACTTTTTACAAGTACCCGTGGTCACAAGTTGAGATGACTGGCCAGTAAAGTAAAAACTTTTAGAAGTTATGAAATCTTGCTTGTGTTATTGATACCACCTACAGATACAGGTCGTATAGTCTTGGTTCCTCAGTCTTTCCTTCTGTAGGGTGGGGATAAAAAATTTGACATGCCTCCTAGTATTGTAAAGGAATAATCCACTGGGGTAAATGAGCTCCAGTCAGAGCTATTCTTTGGTATTAAAATTAGAAATTGTGTTATTTTTCAGCTACTCCCAGGACATGCTAGATAGTAGCATAGTAATAATTAGACACCCTGGAATGGACATTCAGTGCATAATGAGGCATTTACTGCACCTCTACCTTAAAATCTCTCACAGCTGTACTCTTCATTGTTGTCTAGAAAACTATATCACTTTGAGCTGAAGGAGAACACAAGGAAGCCCTCAAAGCTCTTTTACAAAAACAAGAACCACCACCTCCTTAAGTAGCATTGAGGTCTTTAGATAATGGTAAATACAGTAGATTATCATATTGGAAAACTCTCTATTTTGAATTCTTCAACTTTTTTAGAATGGTTATAACAACACAAAAGGAGCAGACTCAAGTGATAGAAATAAAGAAATGTTGAGAAACTAATCTAAACAAGAGCAAAGAAACAATACATGTGGTTCTGAATATATGTGGTGAATAAGGCTTTTTTGTGTCTGAAATCAGTGAGAATAATAATATCCTGTGCTTTGGAAATAGAAACTTACGTTTTCAAAAGTATGCCATCACTTTTGGTCCTCATGATTTCATTTGCCTGCCTTGAGACATCTCAGAAGGCAAACTGAGATGCTCAGCATTTATTTATTTATTTATTTTAACTGAGCCTACTAAAGCGATGTCACTTTGCCCTATACTTCCCCAGAGTATTTTTGAACTGACAAAATACATTAGTGAGTACATGCAACTTCAACATCTTCTGCCACTCTGAAATCTTAAGGTATAAATGTTGGTTGATATTTCACATTTCTGAAGACAAATAGTCTTTGCAGTCAGACTATAAGTAATTCAGTAATCAGTGCCTTCATAACTTTTAAATTTGCTCTTCAGTTTCCACTGAGAGAGGTGGATACATGAACTCCCTGCAGTCTTGCTGAATACAGCCATTTAAACATAGAGACAGAAATGAATGTGACCACAGAATTTATGGTTGAAGACTAATTTCTAGCACATTTCATGTTAGTTTACAATTAATGATGCTATTTAGGTAATCACTAGATTACATGTTAAAAGAGAAAATTAATTGAGTGTTTCCCATTTGTATCTGAATACATTAGAGACTTTCCAGCTACAGTTTTCCCAATTACAGCAGAATTTGAAGAAAAGATTGACAGGATTGTTTAAGAGGAGCTTTTATTTTCCTTTCCCAACAAGAGATTAAACTTCTACAGAGATACTCTATGGAATTTCAAACTGTAGTTCATGCCATTGCTGCATACAGTAGTAGAACTACATTTTTATTTTATGAAGATCAAAATTATACCAACTATGTAAGATATTCATTCATCTTTATTCAGTAACCTGTATAAATTCAGAGTGTAGAGGGTGCAAATCTGGACAAAATTTTTCAGCTGCGATATTCTGAGTGGCTCAGCTGTTCAGCTGCAATGTGATGTGCTAGGAAGGTGCCCCATCAGACTGCCTGTGCAGCTCTTGCTGCTGCTCCTGATGACACTAATCCATATTCCACTTCTAAGTTGGCCGCTTCTCAGGGAAATGCTGCTGCTTCAACATCTTTTACTGCTGATCCAGCTTTACATTTTTGGAGCAACTCAGGAATTCTCTCTTCCCTCTTTATAACTAGGGAAAGTAAACACAATTTACTGTTTCATAAGAAAAATTCTTAAACCACAGCATCATTATGAATTCTATCTGTAATGCCTTGTGCTGCATTCAAGATGCCTTAGTGTACCCTGCAATAGTCTTCGTTGTAACCATACAGATAGGCTGAGTGACCAGATTCTTCCAATATCCTGGGACTCTGCAGCTACAACTGTCAACTCATTTTACCCTAGGCAATATGTTAGGAATACACCAGGTGATACTCAGAGGACTGCCTATAGCTAGGTATCTGATGATCCTTTAAAAGCTAAAAATCAGTAAAATAATAATGTGATGCTGCAACTGGGCTACCTACCCTTATTTCTGTGTGTTTAACTACATCAAATAAGTATTTTGGAGAACATCTGAACTCTTAAAGACACCACACATAGTTGTTTTCATTTGATGCCTAATAAAGCACTATCATGCATTCAAGCTAACATGGGAATGCAATAATAAGAGCTGCATTGTAAACCTGGTGCTCAATCTCAGCCAAATTCCAAGTTAGGCAATTTTGTTTACCCATAGACACATAAGCAAACCTTCACTTCTGTTTTAAACACTTGCTCCATATTGGCATGTACAGATGGTTTCAAAAATAAAGGTTACAGTGGAAGGTGACATGCCCTGTTTTCAATTAAATTTCCAAAGAACACTGAGATTCTTTGGAATAGATAAGGTAATCAGAGCACATACTGGGAGATGGAAGAGGCTACTGAATATTGTTAACAATGTGCATTTAAAAAAAAAAAAACAACATCCTAACTGGTCTTTTATTAGAAATAAACAATTCATTGAGAAAAGCACTACTTTAAATAAAACAAGAATTAATGATTGCAAATCAAGAAGCATTTGGGGAAAGTTTTCCTCTTGTTTGTACACGTTGTCAGGCAGATCATCATAACTTATCATATTTTAGCATAGTTTTATTGTATCTCCTTATTTTTCCAACAGTAACTTTTTCAACAGCTTTGGCTTTGGAAGGTTGCTAGAAAAAATAGATGTGCTGCAACATGCAGAATCATGTTCCTTTCTCATTAAAAGTTACTTGCCTCTTTGCAGTTTACCCTGAGTCATTTTTTAAGAGAAGGATATGGTTCAAGAGTTGGAGACATCAACTGTATTTTCCCTTCTCTCTTAACAGTGAATATAGTTGAAGATCTCAGTATATTTTCATCTCTTTTTTCTTTAAAGCTGTGCAACATGGGTCTGTTTCTTTTTTGCTGAGGAAATGTTTTGATAAGGGCCTATTTGAACCAGTGCTGAGCACTCTAAATTCAGTGTTCCCACTGTAAATTCTTACTATATCTAGTTACATATGTTTCAAAGTGTACAAAATCTCTAATCACATACTTTCTTTATATTGAACACTAAGTGCAGCACAGCTTTATATCTGATGTGGATTTCTCAGTGTTTGTTTTCAAGATTTGCACCTTCCTTGCTGCTCACTCTTCAATTATGGATAAAACAGGGTTGATTCTTCCAACCTGATTGTTTTGGTGTATGAACAAAACAGTCTGGTTTACATCAGGCCCTTGTTGAACCTCAGAAAACTGAAACTGGTTGGCCTGTCCATTTATGGTCCCAAATTGAATCCAGTGCTGCCAGTCAAGACCAAAGAATCAATGCCTCTTTTGAGTTGCAGGCAGTACTTGGCAAAGTAAGTATTGTTTCCTGAGAGTGCAAAGGTTTTGTTCAGCTGGCTTCTGCATTCTGCAGATGATTGGATCAGAAGGGAGATCTATGCAGCTGTGCTTAGTTGGCAAACAGGTGTCTTTTGCAAGTTAATCATCAGCAATGGGAAAAGAAGGACTCAAGTACATCACTAAATTTGCTGTTCATACTTCTTCTGCAAATGCTATATCAAGTTCTATTCCATATTGTAAAGCTTGATTTCCACTCCTACACTTATTTCACACACGATTTCTTACAAGGAAAGGTTTCCTAAAATATTTTATGTTTATGAGGGTATGGAGTAATACATTTATCTTTTGGAAATAACTGAAAAAATTGAGTGAATGGATCACTTGAAGCAAGCATTACTTTCATCCTGCTCTTCCGAGAGTGAACTCCTGTGTAACTGTATTATGATGAGTAACATCATGTTTCTCCTTAAATGAGAAACAATCCATCTACATTCAAAACTCTACAATTCCTGTGAAATTTTCTGGGGTTGTATAAGAAATTTTAATTCATTTCCTTTTTTTTTTTTTTTTTTTAAATTATCTTTGAATTCTTCATACTTTCCTAGATCTGAACTGATGAGGAAAGAAAGGCAAAAAGAACAAACTGACAGGGTCTGGACTTTTACCACTTTCTTACATAAGAAAATGAGATGCGATAAAAATTCTAGGTATAGAGCAGCTCTCTGAGCAAGTTTGCAGATAAAACCATATCTCTTGTGGTGCTCCACAAGACCTATAATTCCCCATTTAAGGCACTGCCATACTGCACTGACTTTGGTTGTGCCTTAAAAAGACAAAATTCAAAAGGCAAAGTAATTTTGTAAAATAAATGAAATGCCTAAAGATTAATTACAAAAATCTCCTGCAAACTTCAGTCTCCAAGAATGGTCTATCTAATAAGTGTGACACTTCATAAGGCCTACAGAATAGAAGCTGAGATTTAGCCCACAATGAACCATAGAAGTTCATCTGTTGTAGGAACTCCTCTTAGAACAGGGAAGTGTCTGGTCTTCTGAAGCATTGGTATTCATATGGAAACTTGTTGTTGGAATACTCTACAGATTTTTTTGTACTATAAATGGGAAGAATATAACATAATGTTAGAGCAAAATACTAATTACCTGTACAGAAGTCCACACTTCAGAATAAAAGCAGTTATCCATGTCTTCATCAAAACAGCAGTCACTCTTGAAAACCATATACACTGTATTTTTTTCCTTCCTGAAAGTTACAAATATACGTTCTTGTGATACTGAAATAAGTACACATGCTAGGAGCAAGATGGATTAGGGAGAAGTGATCTATTTAACAGCCTTCTCTGAATAATCCATTCCCCTTTACCATACACTTGGCTTTGAGTAATTCACATAGGAGGTGTTTGGAGATGGTTGCTAAACTCAATCCTGCTCCATACATTATTATTGCAGAACTGTGGCATTGGGCCTACTAATCTCAATAATATGTATGTATATATTTTCTTAAACTTCCAGAATCAGGTTTCTAAGCATTTGAAGCATAGATCCCATAGGATTATCTAAATCTGACATTTATCTGGGTAAAAGCTAACACATAAGATGTCATAGCTAATCACATGTTTTTTATACTTTCACTTGGAGAAGAAAGAATACTGGAAGTGACACACTAACAAATAACACATAATCTGTACACGTGAAGTAATCTTTACTGCTTTGTTAGTTTTTAAATATGCTCCACGCACCACTCACAAATACAATTATCTTTGTAGTTTAGAATCATGATATTTATTGTAAGTAATACAATAAGTAATTGATCCCTGAAATTTTGACTGGGGAGAAATTACCTGTTTAAAATTCCAAGGCAAGCTGTTAGATTTTTAGTCATATGATTGGACAAATCTGACAGAACTCTTGTTAGTCACAGAATATGGAAGTTAGAAGAGTTATTCTGCTGTGCACAATATACTAAAATGAGCACTGGCTTTTAATTTCTTTTATTACATTTAAGAATATATACATGATCATGAGATTACAAGAGAAGTCAGACACTGCAATTTTGATTTTACATAAAATCTGAGGTCTAGAGTTTATCTTGTTGATCTTCTCTGACCCACAGGAAGCTTTAGCTGTGTCACTTTCACCTTCTGTACTGCTCTTAAAGATCTTCAAGGTTTCACAGCACGCAGATAACCTATTCCCCTACTTCGCTGTTAATATTCAAAAGCTTTCCCTAACTACTTTACTAAAATCCTTTAAACTAACAATTGAACCTGTTCTCTCTTCTACCCAAACTTGAATCATAAAACGTTCTAGCTCTCCTTTTGCCAAGACAAAACACAAACAAGTGTGTTTGTGGATATTTGTGTTTTCTACTTTTAGAAGTCAGATTCTGACATGAAATACCCCATTCAAATTTTACTGGGAAAAAAATTATATACAACCATAACAACAGATAACAAGTTCTGTCTATTTCTTCTGCTACAGCTGTGCAGGATATTTGAGACTTTAAAATAACCAAACAATATTTTTCCAGACACATTTCAGTACATATTCTCATCAGATATTCTTGAAATGTTGCAAGATTGTCTAGCTTCCTAAATGAGTGTTAAAATAGCCCTTACCTTGCTTGCACACAGAGAAGTCCAACTACATGTGCTATTAGTGTATAGTTATCATAAAAATAAATTAGCCAGTCTGCATTTTCAGGTTAATCTTCAATTCCATAATTGAATCAGTAATTACTATAAGTTAATATAATTAGGTGCTAACACTTAATTGAGAATTATTTATTCAGGATTCTTCACTATTGTAACACTACTTATATATCCAAATCATTTTGAGTAATATACTGCATCAAATAAGCTTAACCAAAAAATGGATGGACAGTACGTGGGATACTACAGTTTAGTGATTAAAGTTAACCTTAAAATCCTGAAGTTCTTTCTAAAACAAGAGGAGGAAAGGGTTTTTTGGCAGCCCTTTGGATTCTGCAAATAGAAGAAGTCCTACCTGAGCATTTTCAAAGGACAACACTGAATTATATTGGAAAAAATTCTATTATCTCCAGTGGCTGTTGACGTGGGCTCCAAGGGAAGGCTTTACTTCTAAATCTCCCTCAGAAGAATTGATTCAGAGAAGCAAATGGCAGTTCCTGATCAGTATCTGGTGACTGCATGTATATGCCTCATATCATAACATGAATTTATAATCCCATTGTTTCAGAAAAAGTCTTGGAGCTATATTACTGTGTATCAGTGTTTTGCTAAATTGCATAGGTGCTGTGGCTAGTGTACTTGAAACAGTTTAAAGATTGTCTCAAAGATCAGATTTGCTTTAAATTAATTTCTGTACTAATTCACTGAATATGCACAAGTTAGTCTCTTTGGCTTTGACTCTCTTAGCTAGGCTTGATACATAGACTCATCTTTTCTGTGCAGTTTGAACAAGTTAGATTTCTTCTACACCCAGGAGAAAGTACCAAGTTTGCATCAATCCATCTCTTCATCTGCTGTGCTGGTTGGCTCACTTCAGAATCAACCAAAGCGTAAGGCAACACACGGGCAGCAAGGACATTTATGGAGGTTGTTTTTGAGACCGATCACATGACCATAAGTAACACCATGAAAAGCATAACAAAGACAGAGCAGCAGAATCCTGGGCCTCAGCAAATGAGAATTCACTTAAAGGCAACAACAGTGGGCACAAAAAAAGAGAGAATGAGGCTGCTTACCTTCAGAAGGCCTCCAGTATGCAGAGATCTCCAGCAAAATATCTTTACCTCCCCTGCCAACCCTTAAATGAGGTCTGGGAAGGGATGGATCCTGCCTTCACCCTTCCAGTCACTCAGCTGCATTGCATGCACCTGAGCTCCCCCGGGTTGGCCCTGCCTTCCCACCAGGTGCTCAATCACTGTTTTAGGCTGTGACAGCATTTCCACTAGACCATATTTCAAGACAGTATGTCTATTCTTTTCAAATGAATATACAAAGCTAAAAGAGATACAGAATAATTGGAAGACTTCTGACCTTTTGACTTTGGTCAGATCAGAAGGAAGAAAGTGTGATAAAACATATAAAGCAACTTATGTGATGCATCCAAATTTTTCATTGCTGATTCAATGTAAATTCAACATCTGATCAAGGTGTATCACGTTGATCAGTCACAGTGGTTTCATTTGTTGGTTTGGAAGAGAAAACAAGCATTTTTCAAAGCGATGTGAGTATTAAACTCTGTGACTCCCAGGAAAGTCGACATTAATTGTGCTGTTTGATCTTATTCCTGTTTTACAGAGTAACAATGAAGTGCAGTAAGTTCAACAGAACTTCAGAATTACTTTGATAAATCTGTCAGAGGAAAAAAATATTAAAATCAGTGTACTGAATATTTGCTTCTTTTCTTGAAATATAAATTAATTATGACTATATAAAAACCTTTTACCATAGCTAATTAATCAGAATCTTCTCATAAACTATGTGTCGACAGCACTGTATGTCTAATTATCTTTTCACTTCAGAATTGTGTGGTTGAATAATGAAGAAAACATTACCTGATGAATTCTTTTATTTTATGATGATATCTCTAGAGACAGAAAAGACAGAGCAGCTTAAATGCCATCTTAAATTACATCTTGGCCTTGGCAAGCTTTCAGCTGGTTTTGATTTGCATGGAAACCATTTTTGTAAGACTCATATTCTCTGAAAAACAGAACTTAAAGCTATAACTAGAATAAATTATCTATAGCTATTTAGGGCTCTATTAAATCTAGATGCTAGGCACCCTTTTCACATGCAGAATGCAATGGAACAGCTTTTAATACCCTGTCAACCTGTTCTGTGAAAAGTCGATTGGGCAGGGAAGGTTTGATTTGGCTGCTTTTATTAAAATATCTTTCCCCTCCTTATACCATCATGAACCACTCAGCCTAATTTAAACCAGGTAAATTCACCAATCTGTCTTGCATGTCTACAGAAACAGCTTTTATTTTTTAAAGTGATGACATCTACCCGTAACTATTGGCATGCAAGCTCAAGGCAGTTATTCATACACTGCTGATAGGGAATTGATCTCTATATGATATACCAATATAAGAAGCACATTCATGGATTATATGCATCCATGCCTTTCTCTTTTGATTGCATCCTCCTCACTGAAACTAGGGAACAATTTTGCCCGGGACACAATGGGAGGGCCAAATCAAGTAGTGTTAAACTATGCATCTCATTAATCAAGCTTTTAAATTTGTTATGCTTTTATAATTTAGAATATGTCCACCTGCAGCGCCACTGCAGAATGTAAATCACATTGCACAGAGATTCATAAGAATGCCTGCTAGTACAGTAAAATTATGATTTGATCTAGTCTTATTAATTATTTAGTTTAGAGCTTAATTTGATCTAACGCCTGGCTTCAATGCTTGTTTACTGTTCTGCAGACCAGCGAAAAGTAAGGGAGCTTCAGCTGAGTACAGGTGAGAAAAATGAAGTCAGTAATTAATGTCTTGAAAGTAAATACTCATGCAATTTGAAAGAAAGACTTCAAAATAATTAAAAAGAATTTTACTCTCTATTTCACCTCCTGTATTTCCTGGAAATATTAATCTAGATCATGCTTTAAAAATAGGAATGTTGAGCACCGCACTTCCATCTGCCAAGTATCTACTCTGCAAGTTATTGGGAAAATCTTCTATAATAGAAAGCACTTTTTTCTTGAAGCACGTAGAGGGAAAATAGTCTTAAGTCAAGAGTAATTCTAGCTCCGAAATACTGACACTGGCTCCTATCTCTGTGAAAAGACTAAAGAAACCTGTGAGAATCATATAATTTGTATACATCCAAATAAGCAATCTGAAAATACGTTCCTTAAGTTCAGATATAGAGCATGTTAGAGAGTCAGCTATTCTGACCTCCATGGTTAATGAATTCCATAAGGAGAGAGCAAACACTAAAAATGCCCTGTAGCTCAATGTCTTCAGCCAAAAAGAACTAATCCAATTGACTGAGACCAAAGAAAACGACTGAGGATGTATGGTTCCAGAATGTCTCTGAGGTATTCAAAACCAAGTCAATTTAAGGACTTGTAAGTTAATAACTAGGACTTTACACATAATCCTGTACTTTACAGGTAGCCAGAGAAGGTTTTTTACAACCAGGGTAATGTGATTTTCATGCATAGTGTCAGTCAAAATTTCAGCTGCTGAGTTCCAGACTAACTGAAGTTTCTTCATCAGTGCAATAGCCAATGTGAAATTGCCTTACCTGGTTCTGGAGTGGATACAGGCATGCAAACTTGTACTAGCAAGAACAGATACCATGCTTTTAATCTATGTTTCAAAATAAGTGGAAATAAAATACTTAATAACTAACAATTTAAAAGGTAGGTAAAACAATTTAAGGTAGAAAACCATAATTATTGTATGCCATTTTATCATAAGTTCTCACCACTAAAGTACATGGCAAAACAGAATATTATGGAGCTTTAAACTAGATATGTTGGGAGTCCATATTTGGACAAATGCATGACAATTATTAGTACATGTTTGTTAGCTGTAGTGGACATGTATTGATGGAGAGGGTGGGAAAAGATTTTCTGACAGAAAAAAAATGTCTGCGATAAAAGATTGGTTTTTCCTTTTTATGTTCAACAAAGTTTAACCGGTATTTCCAGACACTGGATCCCTGTTTAGAATTGCCAGAGTGAAGGATACTGTTTTCGTCTGCAGTGGTTCTTGTAATGATGAGCTGTTTGTACCTTAGCAGATGATAAATAGATACACAGACATTTAAGCACAAGGCCACCTGAGTTCATCTTTATACTTGCTTTGGCAGATGAAACTTGCTTTTCAATAGCTATCCTCAGATATATTGCTGAAAGTTAAGATATGAGAATCAATCATTAGGGATGAAAGAGCCGGGTATTTATAGGAGAAAGAGTTATTAAAAGAAGATCAGCAATGGTTTTACCAAGAATAAATCCTGTCAGACAGAATACGACTGATTTCTTTGAAGGAATGACAAAAGAAATAAATGATGGGAACGTGGTGGACATAATTTATGTAGACTTCAGTCAGGGGTGTAGCCAGCAATTTGAAGTTTGTACACATCCTGGCTGATCCCGTGCCCCCTGCCTGCAATATCCCCATAATCTCCCACAGCAGACAGGCCATTGCGTATGATCACTAATGCAGCAGGCACACATAGATGTAGATTTGTATCAGAGCAATGCTTTCAGAGTCCAGAAAAAAAAGCTGGCCCCGGGAAAAAAAAGATTGTATTTTGCATGTGCTGCTTAAACTGACAATTTTAGAAAACGTTTTTGGTAAGACAAAATCAGAAATACAGGTATCAGCATTATAATGGCGGAATAGCCTCAGTCAATTAGAAATGTATTTCTGTTGGAGGTTGAGTAACATTTCTTTGAACATCTTTTCTCTGTTATTTGAAGACTAAAAACCAAACGTTGATCTTGGGAATTTATCTTTTTTTTATCCTAAGACTTTAGAACTGTCAGAATTCTCCCTCTTTTTTTTTCCCATTTCCATCACCAAGCCATGGTAAGATTCTCTTTCCAAAGGCCTCTTCCTCTCTGACTACACTGCTATACTCCAAATGAAGAGGCTTTCAGTATTTTTTGCAAGTATTGCAAATCCAGTGTGTCTGAAAATCGGTCAACCTTTGTTCTGTCTCCTCTGAAAAACAGAGGGATAATTATACAAGACTTCAACCACCATCCTTATACTGTTTCCTAAGGTAAGGCCACTTTTCATATCACTTCCATAGGTGGTAGATTTACAGTGGTTACTTGCAACCTTTTCTGACTGCGCCTATCAAAAGTCTATTCTTTCTTCAACTTATCTCATATAATCTGTAATATATTACTGAGTGTTACTGCCTTCAATAATAACAAGTCCCTGGCCCGTATTACTTCCATTCTCCATTACATTTAATTAATTAGATGTCATTCTTCCACATTTACCTATATTCCAAAATTCTCTTTTTCTTACAACTCTTCCCAATTCCTCTGGCAAGCTTAGTCTTTTAATTATTATTTCTTCTTTTTAATAATGTTTCAGCTAAGCTTGAATTAAATCTGTGGATTTGAAGAATCATGCACTTACAATTTGAGTTTAGTTTCAAATCTGAACTCTGTGGGTAGGAAACCCTTCTACACTGAGATACTGAGTCCTGAAACTTTACATCTGGTTTTATATAGCTCACCTTCATTTCTGAATGATATTGTATTAGGCACATACTGTTTCTTTACAAAATTATCTGTAACTGAGTCAAAAAAGAGAATAGGTTTCTTTGAAGCTGTATATAGGTTTATAAAATCTGAGCTGAATACTTTTCCTAGATTCTTACCAGTCTTCTTATGCTACTAAGATCTGCCACCTGGAATATGACTGTAAACATAGACATTGGGTTGCTTTGGTAACATATAGCATGCAGAAGATCTAGTAATTTTGCCCTCAGGTAACCAAACACGTGCTTTTGATGGAAAAGGAGTTCTACTCCTGTTGTTTGTAACTTGTTTTGAATCTAACATAAGAAGTAATTTACCTCCAAGAACTTGATCTGCCCTTTACCACTAGTTCTGCTTTTTTATCTATTTGTAAAAACTTGAACAGCTTAAGTTTTTTCCTAAAGCATTTGGAGGTATGGAAGATTGGAACAACATGGGGAAAAGACTGTCAAAATAATCACTGTTTTTCTTTTTCAGACATCATATTTGTTTGTCTTGTTCCATTTGTACTAATGCTCACTGCTAGA